CTTCTTCTTGCCGAATGGCATCTTGCCGATCTGCAAGATCAGCGCGGCCGAGTCCTCGGCGGAGACGAAGGTCCACGGCTCCATAACGCTCATCGCCATGCAGCACTGCGCCGTCACGACCTCCTCATATGCATTGTTTCCCTTCTCAAACTGAGTGAGGAACGATGCGGCGGCCTTCAGCTGCTCCACCAGCGCGATGGCCGCCATGATGCTAGCGCGGCGGCAACGGGCGCGCGCGCACCCGCCAGAGCCAGCAACGGCTAACCAGTGGACGGCTAAGCTAGCGGCAATGACCGCACAGCGATCGAGATCGCTTTGCCCTCCACCGCCTCCGACTCCCCCCCCTCCCCAACCCTCCCCCTCCCTGATGCTCTTCACCCAATCCACCACTTCCATCCGCTCTCTGGTCGAATAAGCCTCATCCTCCGCCTCATCACCCCCTCCTCTATACCATCCTCCTTACCCACTCCCGAGCGATCGCCATCGCTACTACCTCCCCATGCACTCCCCCTCGCCCAAGCGGTCGCCATCGCTATTTCCCAGCGCCCCCACCCACCCCCGCACCACCACCACCACCACCACCACCACCACCACCACCACCACCACCACCACCACCACCACCACCACCACCACCACCACCCCCACCCCCACCCCACACCCACCCACCACCACCCCCCATCACCTCCGCCCCCTCGCCCCCTCGCCCAAGCGATCTCCATCGCTACCTCCCAATCCACGCCCCCCCTCGCCCAAGCGATCTCCATCGCTACCCCCCAATCCACGCCCCCCTCGCCCAAGCGATCTCCATCGCTACCTCCCCCCCCTCGCCCCTTCGCCCAAGCGATCGCCATCGCTACCTCCCAATCCACGCCCTCCTCGCCCAAGCGATCTCCATCGCTACCTCCCCGTGCACCCCCGCCCCCACCCCCCTCGCCCCTTCGCCCAAGCGATCGCCATCGCTACCTCCCAAGCCACGCCCCGCTCGCCCCAGCGATCTCCATCGCTCCCAAGAACGCCCGTCCAGCGGGCCGAAAGCGCCTCCGAGAGGCCCCAACCTCCTGCATCACCCGAGGGGGGGACGGGAGAGACGATGGGGGACGGGAGAGGCGATGAGGGACGGGAGAGTTGATGGGGGACGGGAGAGATGATGGGGGACTGGAGAGATGATGGGGGACGGGGGAGAGAGAACCCAATACGTAAACCTAAAACATCCAGAAACCAAAACCTCACCAAAAACAACTTCGTCCCACCCAAAACCACCAGAATCCAAAACCTAAACCCAAAACCTCAAGAACCCCAAACCTCCTCAAACCAACCTCGACGACGACGAGGGCGCCGTCCTCTCACCCATAGGGTGGATAGCCTCAACTCCAACACAAGGAAGTCCTTGTTCTGGAGTCCTGGGCGAGTTCCTGCCATCGTCGTCGTCACCGTCGTCTGAGGCAGCCTCGTCGCCATCATCATCATCGCCGTCATCATCGCCGTCATCATCATCATCATGATCGTCATCATCATCGCCATCATCGTCATCGCCTGTCATCATCACCATCGTCGTCGCCATCATCATCATCAACGTCGTCATCGTCATCATCAGCGACGTCATCATCATTGCCGTAGTCGTCGTCATCATCGTCAGGATCGTCGGCAATCGTCGTCATCATCATCATCGTCAGTGTTGTCAGTGTCGTCAGTATGGCCAGTATCGTAGTCATCGTCGTCGTAGTAGTCGTCATCGTCATCGTCGTTATCGTCATCATGCGCGTCACCGCGTCCATCGTTACCCAAGCGATCGCCATCGCTGCCTCCCCCACTCCTCTTCCTCCTCCTCCTCCTCCTCCTCCTCCTCCTCCTCCTCCTCCTCCTTCCCCAAGCGATCGCCATCGCTACCTCCCCAACTCTTCCTCCTCCTTCCCCATGCAAGCGATCGCCATCGCTACCTCCCCCAATTCACTCCTTTTGCGCGCGCGCGGCGCGGGCGCGCGGCGCGGCGCGGAGGAGGGAGGGAGGGAGGGGGAGGGAGGGAAGGAGGTAACTTACAAGTTACTTATAAGTAACTTATAAGTAATACTAAGTGATGGTGCCTAAAATGTGTTAAGTAACTTACAACATATGTAACTTACCCCGCTCGGCGATGGATGGAAAATAGTTAGAAGTAGCGCAAGTAAGTTTTTTTTTTTCGCAAGAGAAGCACTTAAAAACAGATGCCCTTAGTTAGGGGACATACTCAACATATACTGTTACTTAACACAGAACAGAAGTAACTTACACCCAGCTATAGGTAGCTCGCAAGTGCGCCTAAGATCTTGAAGCCGCCTGGCCCGTCGAACCGCAGGCGGCAGAAACAAAGCCCCGCTCTCTCCGCCCCTGCCGCCGCCGCCGCAGCCCCCCCGCGTCCTCGGGCAGCAAGGAATACATATTTCGACGGGGGCGCGACGTTTTGGCGCCGACGCGGAGGCCCTGGGACCAGGAGGCTGGAATTGCCCCCCCATCGGCACCCTCGGGCCCGGGCGACCCCGGGGCCGGCCCGTTCGAATGCAGCGAGGGCATGTCTAAAGACGACGAGGAGCTTCGCCCCCCCGATGCGGAGGCCCTCCGCCCGAGCCGGCCCGCGGCGCGAATCTCGCGCGAGACAGCGCGGCGAGGCCCCCGACGCTGACTCCGCCCCGCCCGCCCCCCTGCCCCAGCGCAGCCCTCCGGACTTCGCGGGCGTCGATCGCTTGAGGCGCCGACGGGGCCCTCGCGAGCTGCGGGGGAGGTCCGCGGTCGCCCCGCGCGCTCCGCCACGGGCGCCCGCGCGCGCTCAGGTTTGCGTTGGTTTTCGAGTTGCCCCAGAGACCGCGAGTCTCAGCGATTGCATCGGGCATCTCGTCCAGCAAGTCAAGCAGTTTCGCTGTCAGACCGATGGGGGGGCCAGGGGGCCGAGACGTTGTCTGGCCGGGCGTTCCTCCATCGCCTTCGGCGCGCGGAGTTCGGCGAAAAAAGGGGCCCGCTAGCCCGGGCGCGCCAGCGACGCAGCCGGGCGGTGGAGCAGGTTGGCCAGGGCCGCAGCGTCGTTCCAGGCGCTAGTTCACCGTGGCAAGGGGGCTCAGCATAATCGCGAATTGACCATTCTGAAGAGGGGGCGGGCGCTGGCGGGCGCGCCGTCAGCGGCCCGGGCCCGCCCTGGCAGGCCTCGCAGCATCGCGAGTTGTGGAGGGCCCGACTCTCGGACTTTGCCAGCGCGAACCACCTTGTCCCGGGCGCGGCCCAGAACGCGGCCAAAGGCTTAGAAATGGCCACGGTCGCGACGTCACATGTGCAGGAAGCGCGCTGTTGAGTCCAGAACATGGTATAAGCGAGTTGTTTTCTCACGCGTCGCATCTGGGGCTCTTGTCGCGGTGGAAATTGTTCCCGGGCGAAAGACGCGACGTCCATTCTGCTGTGCGAGTATATTTCTTCTGCGTTGTTAGGCCTTTCGCGGTGGATCACGATTTGTTTGGCGTCGGTCGTTTTCCAATCGAGGGCTGCCCCGCGTCTCCCCTGCCGTCTTCGCCGCCGCTGCCCCAGCCCCGCTGCCCCCCGCCCTTCCCGCCCCGCGCCCGTCATTTGTTCTGCGCCCCCCCCCCCCCAAGAGAGCGGAATGTAGCAATGCTGGCCCAACGTTGGCGCGAAACAGACCCAGCGGCCCCGCGACCGGCCAGCAGCGATAGCCAGAGAAGAGCAAAATAAAACCACCCCAGTAATAGTGCGATATGGATGACCAGACGGCAAAACCAATTTGCTGAGGACGTCGACGTCGTAGACAGCGGTGTTAGACAACGCCATCAAACGATTGGGTATCCCAAATTTAGATGCGCAGCTGAAAGCGAACAAAGGCACATTCTATGCAGCACCCAACGTTGCGGATAAGGGCGAGGGGGCGGGCGCCGGGTGGGTCGGGCGATTCGCGGGCGGGTCGCGGGGCGGATCGCCGGCGGGTTGCGGGTGCGTCGCGGGCGTGTCGCCGGCGGGTCGCGGGCGGATCGCGCGCGGGTCGCGGGCGCGTCGCGGGCGGGTCGCGGGGCGCGTCGCGGGGCGCGTCGCGCGCGGGTTGCGTTTTGCGTCGCGGGGCGTGTCGCGAGCGGGTCGCGGGCGAGCCGCGGGGCGGGTCGCGGGCGGGTCGCGGGCGCGTCAGGCGCGTTGCAGGTGGGTCGCGGGCGGGTCGCGGCTGAGTCGCTGGCGGGTCCCTGGCGGGTCGCGCGGCGGGTCGCGGGCGGGCTGCTTTGCGTTTCGCAGGCTGGTCGCGGTCGCGTCGCGTGCGGGTCGCGGGGCGGATCGCGGCCGGGTCGCGGGCGGGTCGCTGGGCGGGTCGCGGGCGGGTCGGGGGCGGGTCGCGCCCGGGTCGCGCCCGGGTCGCGGGCCGGGTCGCGGGCGGGGCCAGGGGCAACGAGCGACAGCTTGCCCCCCTCGCCTTGTTTTTTGGTCGGGGCGCAAGTCGCTAAGTAGGGATGTCCGGGCTAAACGACGCAGGGGGCGACGCCCGGTGCATTTTTTGGATGCGCGAGCTCGCTCGGGCAGAATGCCTCGCGGATCCCCATATTGCCGCAGGGGGGCCCGATGGGATCGCGAAGCCTCCCGCCCACTGCGAGGATGGGCGCGCGGCCGACGGGCAGAAATCGCCCTCGCCCAGAAAGCTCGTCGACGCCGAGACAATATGGAAGGATTTGTACTTCAAAAAGCGCGCCCCAACAAGACTCCGCGGCCGTCTTGGCTGGTCGGCGAGACCTCGAGGGGCCCTGCGGACCCTGCCGGGCACTCGACGCGCCCGATCGGGCCTTCCGCCCCCCTCCAGACAAAGGCAGGGGCGCCGGCGGATTACTCTCCTTGGATTTGAGACGGTTGTAGACGGCAGCCCGCGAGATTTCGCAAATCTTTCTGTTGGGTTGAACCGGGAGCGGCGCGTCCACATCAAATGTTGCAGGCCACTGTCGCGGTGGAGCCATTGCCCAAGGGCGGCCTTGCGATCGCGCCGCCGCCATTGGATGGCGAGAGCGCGGCGGCTTCTCGCCCGCCCAGAGGTCGACGAGCGGGCGAGCAAGGCCGCGACCGAAAGGGGGGCCGCCCATGGTTCGCTCGCGCTGCCGACGGCGGCGACGGCCTCCGAGGTGCGGGACTTCTCCGTCCGCGCGCTGGCCCTGGAGCTGCAGCTTCACGCCGCGGGCTGCGTGGCGTGCCAGGCGGGGGCCACGGGGGGTCGCGCTGGGCGGGCCCCTGCTGACGGGCTCGAGGGCCGCGGTCTACCGCGCGCTGGACAGGCCGGCGACCCCCGCGTTCAGATGCACGCCGGGGGCCAGGTTTGATAACGGCAGCACCGCGGCCCACGGCGGCGAGAAGGCGGCGGGGGCCCCTGCGTTCGGCCATGCTGCCCCGCAACGATTCGCTCGAGCAGGAGGGGCTCAATGCGGTTGGCAAGGCCGTTGTCTATATCTCGGGCATCCAGGCGACGCGGAGGCTGACGGCCAAGCCCAAGGAGCGGGGCGTCGTCTCCCAGGCGTCGGTGGAGGGCCGAGACTCGGGCATTGACCGCGCTGCTGCTGCAGGGCCCAGGGGGGGGGCCGCCCGTTCACGTGGCGAGGAGGAAGCATGCGCGCCCGAGGATGAAGACGCCGGGGGGGGAGGCCCCGATCGCTGCAGAAGAAGATGGCGCTGCTCAGCTAGGACGCGACGCCTTCGCTCGGCTATGGCGCCGTGGCCCGCGGTGGGCCGTCTTCCGCGATCACCGATGCCGGGCGCAGATGCGCGGCGGGAATGGCGAAGCCCGGAGCAGGCAGTCACGCCGTGCTTCCTTGGCCCTCGAGGGCAGGGCTCCGCGCTGCACGCCCCCCGGACGCAGGTCAGGGCGCGGCTCGACCAGCGAGCGCGCGCCGCGAGGGCGGCTGCCCGATGGCTCCGAGGGCCTGGCCATGGATCTACGCCAGGCTGCTCAAGGTGCCGTCGCAGCGCAGGTGGGGGAGACGGAGGGGCACGATGGCCTCATTAATGCCTGCGCTCTGGGAGGCTGGATGGGCTCCCCGCTCGGCGGCCTCGTGGGCGGACCCGCGGGTCGCGGAGTGGGCCGCGCTGCCAGCCGCGGAGCTGAACGACCCAACGGATGTCATATATTCGGCGGCGGCTGACACTGCAATCAAATTATGGAGAAAGGCTGCAAGAGGCCACGGCGCAGGCGGCACGTGGGACGGGGTTGATGCGTGAGACATTAGACCCACCACCAAGGAGCGGAGGAAATCAAAACCTGACATGGGGAACGTCCTCCTTCGGTCGATGGCGGCAGGAGCCTGGCCCGCGGAGAGCAAGACGCAAGTCTCGGGAGGAGAACGTGGAGGCGATGGCCCCAGCAGTTGCGGGGCGGCGACGGGCAAGTACCACCGTGTCTGGGGCGACTGCCCGAGCCGACCGCATTGCCTGGAAATCGAGCGCACGGAAGCGCCGAGGATAAGGGCGGAGAGCAGGTATGAAGCATCCCAGTGGCCTGGTCGCGGCGATGCCGCCCGCGGCTTGGGCGACGCCGCCACCGCGCTCCGCGGGCAATGGGAAGGTGGCCCTCGGCAAAGCAGCGAGTGCGCGCCTAGCCCGGGGAGAGCCGCGCCGCGCCCACTTTGCTTGCGGCGACGCCAGCGCGGGCGCCCAGGTCTCAGATTGCCGTTTTCGGCGCCGTGGGTGGGGCTGGCACCCGCTGCAGGGCGCCCCGAGCTGCTCGGCGGGGTTAAAGCCCTACAATGTGACCGCAGACAGACGAATCATCGCTCAGCGGCGTTTGCTCTCGTTTCTGCGTTGCAGAGTACGTCGGGCGATCTTGTATATTGGACCGTCAGTGAGATTTTTGTTTCCGGGGCCCCGCCAAGATGGGTTCGTGGGCGTGCTTCTCGGGAGAGGCCATTCAAGGGAGCTCCCCACGAGGTGGCGCGTCCCGACAAAGCCGGCTTGGAGTCATCATTGGGTAATCTGCCTCCTCCGCCTCTTCCTCCGCCTCCTCCTCCTCCTCGCATTCCTCCTCCTCGTCCTCCCTCTCCTCCTCCTCCTCCTCCTCATTATCCTCCTCCTCATTGTTCTCCTCTTCCTTCTTCTCGTCCTCCTCCTTCATTTTCCTCCTCTTCCTCATTTTCCCGCTCCGGGTTTCTTCTCCTCCTCCTCTTTCTCCTCCTCTTCCCCCTCCTCCTCTTTATTCTCCTCCTCCACCTCCGTTTCTTCCTTGTCCTCCTCCTCCTCTTCATATTCCTCTTCCCTCTCCTCCTCCTCCTCCTCCTCCTCCTCCTCCTCCTCCTCTTCCTCCTCCTCCTCCCCTCCTCCTCCTCCTCGTCCTCTCCTCCTCCTCCTCCTCCTCCTCCTCCTCCTCCTCCTTCCCCCTCCCCCTCCCCCTCCCCTTCCCCCTCCCCCTCCCCCCTCCCCCCTCCTCCTCCTCCTCCTCCTCCTCCTCCTTCTCCTCCTCCTCCTCCTCCTCCCCCCTCCTCCTCCTCCTCCTCCTCCTCCTCCTCCTCCCCGTTCCCTGTCCTCCACCTCCTCCTCCTCCTCCTCCTCCCCCTCCTCCTCCTCCTCCTCCTCCTCCTTCTCCTCCCCCTCCTCCTCCTCCTCCTCGTCGTCGTCCTCCTCCTCCTCCCCTTCCTCCTCCTCCTCCCAGGCGCCGCCCCCCCCCAGCCCCAGGCGCCCCGGCACAGGGGCGGGCGCGCTTGGCGGCAGCGGGGAAGGCGGCACGGTCCTCCGCCAGCCAAGGCACACCCGCAAGCAACAGCGGCCGAAGGCGGCGGGCGCAACGGCGGGGCAGCAGCGTGAGCTCCGCTTCGCCCGACGCACGAGGCGCGGCCTGCGCCGCCCAGCGCCTGCGCTCGCGGCGCCCCCAGGCGACCTGCGCGGGCAGCTGGGCGCCTGGCACGCGGGCTGCCCCTTCAGGACTGCCAAGGACCAGGGCCCCGAGCGCAAACGGGCGCTCGAGCTACAGCGAGCGCTGGAGCGGGCCCTGACGACCTTCACGGGGCACTGGATCGAGGACCCGCAAGTTTTGGATGACGACAGAGACGCGCTCCACTGGCGGAGGCACTGCGTCCCGTATGTTGCTCACTACCTCTCGCACCCTGCGATGGCGCCCCTCGTCCACGAGCGCACCCAGCAGGATGGCCACGGGAACGTGGCCACGGCGCAGCTGGACATGGCGATGGAGATCTGCGACCAGGCCTTCATACAGCGTCGTTCATACAGGATGCGCTATTGGGCGTGGCTGCGCATGCTGGAGTCGCGCGACTACGACGAACGGGTGCGCCAGCTAGCTGAGCACGCCGAGGCCATCACCAGGGAGCTGGAGGACCTGGACAATGGCCGTGGCATCCGCCACGTTATGAACCACACGGAGCTGGGAGTCAACTCAGGGGAGTGCGAGGCCAGCTATACCTTCTTCTACGACAGCGAGTCCGTACCGGTGTTCGGCTACTCTGGGGAGTGCAACGACACCAACAGGACCTCACCGACCTGCTCTACCACGACCAGTCCGCCCACCATCGCGACCTCTGGCACGAGACGCATGCGAGGACGGAGCCGTCGAAGCTCGAGGCCAGGGGCTTGCCCCACTGTGGCTGGCGCTGCGAGTGAGGAGGAACCTAGCGGCTCCGTGCGGCCGACAGGGGATCCCACAGTCGTAGCACCGACGCTCAAGGGACATGTCGGTGGAGACGTTCTCTTTCGGCCAGATGCTTCACCCCGCAGCGTGCGGCCCTCTTCGGAGGTTGAGCCACCTCGGGGTTCCCGCAGCGCGCGGCCCTCTTCGGAGGTCGAGCCGCCTCGGGCATGGACTGGGTCATCATCCCCTCCCCGCAGCGTGCGGCCCTCAACAGAGGTCGAGCCACCTCGGGGCACCCGCAGCGCGAGGCCCTCCGCGGAGGTCGAGCCGCCTCGGGCACGGACTGGGACATCGGCCCCGAGGGGCAGCTGCGACACCATGATGGTCATGACGGTGAACGTCACGGGCTGGGGCTCATGCCTCGAACAGCTGGAGCGCGGCCACGTCGACGACGGGGTGCAGGCCATCTTGCTGCAGGAGCACCGCCTCCACCGCGATCTACGACTTGCAGCGGCAGTGCGTGCAGCCAAGCGAGCGGGCTGGGTGGCCGACCTCATCCCAGCGTCCGTCACGGCCGTCGGCGGCGTTTCCTCAGGCGTGGGGATTTTGATGCGGCCCTGGGTGCGGGTGCGACGCGTCGAGTTCAGTGACGACCGCATCTCCATCCGCTGCTCGGCTCGCATGGGCTTCTGGATGACCTCGCTAAGGTCGACAGCGGGCGCGCTCATGGCGTCGGCGTACTTCCACACCAACCAGGATTTGAGCGACTTCAACCTGGACATGCTCGCCAACCTGGGCTCTGTCATCAGGGCCATGCATCGCCCCTTCGTTGCGGGGGGCCGACTGGAACATGCTACCTGACGTGGTGAACGAGGCGCACCTGCTCCCAGCCGCGGGCGCACGTCTGGCGTGCTCGGGGGAAGCTACCTGCATCACGGCGACGTCGGCGCGGGAGCTCGACTACTCCTGCGTGGGCGCGGACAAACCCGTCCAGAGCGTCAGCAGGTGCGACCGATTCGACGTCAGGACTCACCGCGCAGTCCTCCTGCAGCTGGCGCTGCCCAGGCCTGGCGGGCTGGTGGCGCGGGTGCGCAGGGCCCGCGCTTTCCCTGCCCAGGCCTTGACTGTTGACTGGGCCTCAGCTGCCTGGACCAGACTGGGCCGATGTTCAAGCCGACCTGGACTCAGTCACCACACCCGCGGGCCTCGAGGCTGTCCGTGCGAAGGTCCTGGACAGATGCGAGGACGAGATGCTGGGGCACTTTGACTTGGACGGGCAGGCGCGAGGCAAGCAGGTACAACGGCAGGAGCGAGGGCGCGAGGCTGGTCCAGACGCAGCTGGAGCGCCACCGCTCCAGCAGTTGGCAGCCCACTGAGCGGCCAGACCCAGCCGACGCGCACTGCGGCTGGATGGCGGACAGGGTGCAGGAGTGGCGGCTGCTGTGGGCTGGTGGACAGGCAGCGTGGGCCCGCGCGAGGAGCCTGCAGGTGAAGCTGCTGTGCTGGCAGACGGTGTGGCGTGCTTGGCGGCGGCTGGCGCGGCGCCTGCACTGCCTCCCTGATGTCGAGTGCGGCGAGCTACTGGCCCTCCTGCGCCGTCAGGCAGTGACTGCAGCAGGCAGGGCGTCGCACAGGCGCTATAAGGCCTGGCTCGACTGGACGCGCGACGCCACCGCAGCGGATGGCATGTGCAAGGCGTTCCGCTGGATCCGCGAGCCTGCCCCGTGGGCGGCGGCGCGTTGGTCGCCAGCCGCGGGGCTGCATGCGGCGCAGGAGACGGCGGACGCGGCCATCAGCCCGTGGCGCGCCCTGTGGAGCCAGGGCGAGGGGCTGGAGGCGACCTGCTGGCCAAGGGAGCTCGGCGACGCCCCCCCTCTGCCGACGCCCGAGGAGCTGCGGGAGGTGGGCCACTCCTTCCCGCACATCACGGGCCTGGGGGGCGACGCCTTCCACCCGCGGCACGTCGCCTTCCTACCGGATGGCGCGCCCTGGCGACGGTCTGGCGGCACATGCTGGCCTTTGATTACGTGCCGAAAGCGCTGTCCGTGCTGCAGATGGCGCTCATCCCCAACGCCGATTCGGGGTTCCGCACCATCGGGCTCTTCGCGGGCATCCTGAGGCCCTTCGCGCGCTGGACGCGCGGCACGCTCGGCGCCCGCTGGGCCAGCGACCACCAGAGTGACTACGTCTACGGCACGGCTGGCCAGAGCTGCGAGACGCGTGTGTGGATCCAGTCGGCCAACGCTGAGGTGGCGACGCACCGCAGGCAGGCGGCTTGCACGGTGCCCATGGACCCCACCCAAGGCCTATGAGCACATCCCGTGGGCGCTGTTGGTCCAGCGTGCCCGCGCCATGGGCTTCAACATGATGCTAATGAGGATGCTCGTCAGGCTGTGCGCTCTGCCGAGGCTGGTCACCGTGGACGGTGTCGCCATGGGCTGGTGCAGCCCGCAACGCGGAGTGGTGGCGGGCTGCAGTTTCGCCGAACTCTGCATGCGCATCTTCCTGGTCCCGCGGCTGGGCGAGATCGTGGCGCTCCGCACGGTGGACGTGGGCAACACTGTCGACGACATCCAGCTCAGCAAGATCGGGCTGGCCAGAATCGCGGCGGCCAGCGTCAGCGCAGCCTACAAGAGGATTCGGGACGACCTCTCGGCGGACGGGCCCGTAGTCAACGACGGCAAGGGCGTGGTGCTGTCCAACTCGGCCGACTGTGGTCGCGAGGTCGACTACGCCAGCGGGCGCCGCGCTGGAGTGAGCACGCGAGCCAAGCGCACGGCCGCTGTCCTGCGCCGTGCTGCACGCATTCGCGCGCTGCGCGCGGCCCGAGGGAGAGCATGGCAGCTGGTCAGCCTCGGGCTGACCCCGGCGGGATGTTGGGGAGCGGGTGCGACGGGGAGGGCGTGGGGCGGGATCGAACCGATGGGGCGAGCTGCGCGCTCGGCCCTGTTCGTGCACACTGCTCGTCGCTCCCTTGATGTTGACCTCCACCTCGCCCCTGCCTCCCCGCGGTCGGCAGACCCCGCCTATGCTTGCGCGGCAGGACCCATACTCATGCTGGCCCGTGCGATTTGGTCCTCGTGGATTCCTCGGGACCCGGTTGCCAGGCTAATGTTTGCTTCGGAGGCCGCTTTCATGGCCGACCCGTCCAAAAGCGACTGGCCCCTGGTCAAGGGCCCGATCTCTGCCGCCGTCGCCAGCTGCCGTCGGATCGGATGGAGGCTCGGCCCAGGTGTGTGCATGCTTTTAACCCACGAGGGGGATAAAATCGACCTCGCTCGTCTCTGCCCCCGTTCTGCGCTGCATGTTGTTCGTTTTGCCATCGAAGACTGGCTAATGGATCGTGCTCACAGGGGTTGCGAGTATTTGTCGAGCCTCTCTCACCGTCCCTATTTGTTCCCCATTCGCAGGCTCTGCAACGGCGCGCGCGGCCCCGACTGGACCCTTCGGCACCAGGCCAGTCTCCGAGCGATTGCCGCGAACGGGATCTGGGGCCAGGCTCGGAAGTTTCGACATGGTCTGACGACCGATCCGTCGTGCCCCCTGTGCGGTTGCTGCCCAGGCACCTTCGCCGCGTGGGTTGCGGGCGAGTGCCTGGCCACCTGGCAGTTCGTGCGTGAGTGTGACCTCCCCCCCTCCGTCAGGTCGGGGTTCCGCGAGCACCCCGACTGGGCCCTCTGGAGGCACGGCATGGTGCCTGACCCTCGCCCTTGGGTGCTTGGCCCTTCCCTCTCCCTCCACGCCCGTTGGCTCAAGCGCCCACTGGGCGGCCACTTCGAAGGCGAGGCCTTCGGCGACGGCTCGTGTGCGTCGCTGGTGCAGGGCGACCAGCGCCTCAGTCGCGCTGGCTGGTGTGTAGTGCAGGTTGACGCCCGAGGGGAACTCGTGGCGTCCCTGTGCGGTTTGCTGCCTGGTCTGCACCAGGCGTCGGACTTGGCCGAGGCGCGCGGCCTGCTCATGTATCTCCCGCATGTTTCGCTCGGCTCCTTTCGCTACCACACGGACTGCGAATGGGTGGTCACGAGTTTTCAGCGTGGCCGTTTCGAGACCACGGGCGCCACGTGCGAGGGCGCCGGCGTGTGGTCTCAGATATGGGATCGGGTGGACGACCTGGGGGGATGGTAGAGGTGCTGAAAGTCAAGGGCCCCGTAAAGGGCCACGCCCGCCGCCGTCATGACGACGAGCAGGAGCTGGGTGCGGTAGCGCGATGGGGAAACCATCGCGCAGATGCTGGCGCTCGTGTGGGCGCTGCTCTGCATCCGTCGGATGCCGAGGCTAGCGCGCGTGTGCAGCGCTTCTTTAAGCTGGTCACGTTTGTGGCCAAGTTCCTGGCCAGGACGCTGCAGGTTGTCGGCCCTAAGTCGCAGTCGGCACCTCGCCGAGGGCAGCTGCGGCGGGCGCAGAGGAGAGGTCCGACGCCTGCCCTCTCGGCGGACACGGAGCCGTCGCCTGGTGTGCATGTGCCTGTGCCCGCGCCCACGGGCGGCGTCAGGTGTGCGCGGTGTTTTCGCGTGGCACGGCACCGCGAGGCCTTCGACCCTCCCACGTGTGCCCCAGGCGGGGGCCACCGCGCATGGCTTGTAGGCCAGTTCGTCTTCTGCGCCAGCTGCGGGGCGCACTCGAGCGAGAATGCGCAGCTGCTGGCGCGGCCCTGCAATGGTGGAGTGCCCCCCAAGACACGCCCGCGCTTGGACCGTTTTTGGGAGGGCCTCCACCCTCGCACTGGGCGGCCGCTGCTGCCGACTGACAAGGGTCAGCTGAGGCCACGCCCATTCGGCGAGTTCGTCATCGACGCCACCCTCGGGGGCCTGGTCGTTGTGGATGACGATCGCGCCGAGTAGGGGTGGCCTCCTGACCCGTCCTCGTGTGGCACTCCCTATGGGAGGTGCCTGGGTTTCTTCCTTCACGTCGGGCGTATGCCTGAGTCTGCTTGCGTAGCCAGCGCACGCTTGTGGCCCCGTCTGGATAAAACTCCTCCTCCTCCTCCTCCTCCTCCTCCTCCTCCTCCTCCTCCTCCTCCTCCTCGTTCCCTCATCATCCTATTCCTCGTCTCCTCCTCCTCCTCCTCCTCCTCCTCCTCCTCCTCCTCCTCCCCATCTTCTTCCCCTCCTCCTCCTCCTCCTTCTCCTCCTCCTCCGCCTCCTCCTCCTCCTCTTTGTTCCCTGTCCTCCTCCTCCCCTCCTCCTCCTCCTCCTCCTCCTCCTCCTCCTCGTCCCCCTCTCCTCCTCCTCCTCCTACTCCCCCTCCTCCTCCTCCTCCTCCTCCTCCCCCTCCCCCTCCTCCTCCTGCTCCTCCTCCTCCTATTCCTCCTCATCGTCGTTGTCGTTCTCCTCCTCCTCCTCCGAATCCACATCATATTGTTCTCTCTTCCTTCCTCCTCCATGCTCATCGTTCCCCTCCATTCACCCTCCCTCTCTCCATTTTTGTTGCGTCCTTCTCGGCCTCCTCCCGCACCTCCCCCCGCCCTCGGCCCGACACGCCGTGATCGTCCCAGGCCCTCCCCCTGCCTCGCGGGGATCTGGCAGCCGCGCCCCGCCCAGGCGCAGGGCCAGCACATGCAGGAGCTCCAGAGCTCGTCAGAGGCCCTCGCCTGCTTCCATTGAACAAGAGGAGGTATCGCCATGAGGACAGGGCTCCGGGAAGGAAATGGGTCCTGGATGTTCTTTCCCCATTTTCTGGTTCTTCGAGGCTTTTCTTGGGTCTTTCAGGCCCATTCGAACAACAATGCAGGATGAAAATCTGGAGTTCAGGATCGTTTTCGTTGCTGTCTGGTTTCGTTCGTGCCAGGACGGGGAGGAGGAGGACAGAGGAGGAGGAGGAGGAGGAGGAGGAGGAGGAGGAGAGGAGAGGACGGGGAGGGGGAAGGGGAGGGGGAGGGAGAGGGGAGGGGGAGGGGGAGGGAGGTAGGGAGGGGTGGCGGGGGGCGGGGGCGGGGGCGGGGGAGAGGGGGAGGGCAAGCTAGGTACGCTCGCGTCATATCTGACGTCCTACCCCTCCTCCCATCCCTTACCATGGCGCTGATTTTCTCTATCCGCGGACGCGTGTCGTAGCGGACCTGTGGCTCCGCGCGCGCGTGCGTAGTGGGTGGTGGTGCACGTGCGTGCGTGCGTGTGTGCGTGGTTGTGTGGTGGTGGTGGTGTGGTACCGCGTGACGCGCGTGTCGTAGCGGACCTGTGGCTGGTGCGCGCGTGCGTAGTGGGTGGTGGTGGTGCGTGCGTGGTGCTGTGTGCGTGGTCTTGTCGTGGTGGTGGTGGTGGTGTGGTGGTAGTGGTTGTGTGGTGGTGGTGGTGATGGTGATGGTGGTGGTTTTGCTGTTGCCTGGTTTGCTGGTGCTGGTGCTGGTGCTGGTGGTGGTGGTGTTTGGTACTGGTGCTGGTGCTGGTGCTGTTGTGGGTGTGGTGTGGTGTGGTGGTGGTGGTGGTGGTGGTAGTGGTGGTGGTGGTGGTGGTGGTGATGGTGGTGGTGGTGGTGCTGGTGGTGGTGGTGGTGGCGCTGGTGGTGGTGGTGTTGGTACTGGTGCTGGTGCTGGTGGTGGTTGTGGTGGTGGTGGTGGTGGTGGTGGTGGTGGCGGTGCGGCGCGGTGGTGGCGGGCGGATGGGCGCGCGAGAAAAAGGCCCGCGCTGGGCGAGAACGCCATCCTGAACGACGGAGGCCAAGCACCGATCCGAAAATGAGGCCCACGCTGCAGCGGGAGCACGATTCGGAACGATTCGGGAGCAGAAATGAGGCCGGCGCCTCAACGAGAGCAGCATTTTGGAAAAAATGACGCCGGCGCCTCAGCGAGAGTCGTTTCCCGGGATTTTCCGGGCATCCTGTGTGTAAAAAACAGTACGCGGAGGGTGCGCGGCTATCACCCGGACGCCATCAGGGGAAGGATTCGGGAGCAGAAATGAGGCCGGCGCCTCAACGAGAGCAGCATTTTGGGAAAAAAATGACGCCGGCGCGAGAGCAGCATTTTGGGAAAAAATGACGCCGGCGCCTCAGCGAGAGTCGTTTCCCGGGATTTCCCGGGCATCCTGTGTGTAAAAAAACAGTACGCGGAGGGTGCGCGGCTATCACCCGGACGCCATCAGGGGAAGAGGGAGAGTATATTCATATTGAGTAATTGTGGAGGAGGAGGAGGGCGGAGGGGGAGGGGGGAGGGGGAGGGGAAGGGGAGGGGAAGGGGAGGGGGAGGGGAGGGGGGAGGGGGAAGGGGGAGGGGGGAGGGGGGGGGAGGGGGAGGGGAGGGAGAGGGGGAGGGGGAGGGGGAGGGGAGGAGGGGCAAGCTAGGTGCGCTCGCGTCATATCTGACATCCTACCCCTCCCTCCCATCCCTCCGTACCATGGCGCAGATCCCCTCTCTACTCGCTCAGGCGGATGTCGAGCAGGGCAATGATGGGTACGCGATGCATTGTAGAGCACGGCATGGCATGGCGTAGAAGAGCACCGCAAAGCGTAGTATCAACCTAGCATTGCAGTGCATGCCGTGGCATGGCACGGGAAATGACGCCAGCGCTGCAGCGGGAGCAGGAGTCGAAACGAGCGGAAGCGCGGAAATGAGGCCAGCGCTGCAGCGGGAGCACGATTCGGAATGAGCGGGGCCCGAAAATGAGGCCGGCGCCTCAGCGAGAGCAGCATTTTGAAAACAAATGCAGGCGAAAACCCAATTTCGGGGAAACCTGTGTGTAAAAAACAGTACGCGGGGGGGTGTCGGACACTCCCAGGCCGTCATCAGGGGAAGAGGGAAAGTAGTACTCAGATTGAGTAATTGTGGAGGAGGAGGAGGAGGGGGAGGAGGAGGATGAGGAACAGGGGGGCCACAGTCCCAGCCGCGGAGACCTCGGCAGCGCCTCGGGACCTCGAGAGCTCCAGCTTCCCATGGGAGGAGGGGGTGGTTGCCACCGCTGTCAATCGCGCCCCGCTGACAATCCACCTCGGCATGTGCTCGTTTCTACATTCCTTGTTTTGCGATCGGCGCGGGCCCCCTCCCCCCCGCTCGCCCCCCCCCCCCTCATCCAATAGATAGTGTCTGTTTTGGGCGCCTGTTTTTCGTGCAGGTGGAGTCACTCCCCACAGGACGCACTGCTGCAAACAGTCGCACTAAGCAGAGGTCCTGAGCCAGACCCCCCCCCTCCCCCCCCTTCCGCCCATTGTCGAAGCGCCGAACAGGAAAACGCTGACAATCCAATCCACCTCCAGTTCCTCCTGCACTGCAGCATTCTCCTCCAATCGTGCGCCGCTGACGATCCACCTCGGCATCCAATCCGCTTCGTGTTCCTGCTCCACTGCAGCATTCTCCTCCAATCGCGCGCCGCTTATGATCCACCTCGGCATCCAATCCGCTTCGTGTTCCTCCTCCATTCCAGTATTCTCCTCCAATCGCGCGGCGCTGACAATACACCTCCGCATCCAATCCGCCTCGTGTTCCTCCTCTGCTGTTCTCATTAAACTCATGCGTCTCGGGACAGTCTTGGAGGCCATCTTCGGCCATCCGAGCCGTCTTGGAGGCCATCGTGGGGCAGACTTTCGCGGGGAGGCCGACGGAGGGCGAGTTTTGCGGTTCTCTCCGGGTGACCAGCGGGCTGGGCTGGAGGTTGGTGGAGATTTTCAAAAAGGACGAACGTTCAAACGTTTGGCACGCCAGGCACCCCTTTGATAAGACAACGGGGGGCGGCGAATCGAAGGGATCACCGCCGCCCCCTGCAGTTTGGAAGCGCCCGTGTGGCCAAACTGTGGGCCGAAGTCTGGCCAAGCTATTGGACCTCGGCCGTTGAGGAACTGCTTGGGGGAACAGTTGGGAGAGGAATGGAGGAGGGGGGGAGGAGAAGGAGGGCGCGGAGAAGGAAGAAGAAGAAGAAGGAAGAAGAAGAAGAAGAAGGCGAGGAGGCTTCGTGCTGCCATCTTGGGCCCCCCTGGGGGCTTCGGGGCCCCTTTGGTCCTTGGGGGCATCCTGGGACGTTTTGGGGGCCACCTGGGGCCTCTCGGGGGCCCCCTGCAGGGCCCTCTCGTGGGCCTCCGGGGGGGCCTCCGGGACCTCTTGGCCCACGGAGGCCGTCGTGGGGAGGGGGCCTCTCTCGGCAGTCGTGGGTCTCGCTCTGGGCGCTCTCGGGGCCGCCCTGGAGGTGTGCGGGGCCGTCATTGGAGCCCCATTGGCCGCCTCCCGGGGCCTCTGTTTGGCTTCTTATCGGCGGGGAGCCCGGGGGGGGGGCGGGCCTTCGCAAGAGGGCTTCGAAGTCCCCAGGCCTTCGAGAAGTCATCCAAGCCTTCCCCTTCCCCGAAGACAAAGGGAACTTCTCAGAAGGCGCGAGGGCTTAAGTCCCGCCGCCTTCCGAGAAGGCCTTCTCTCCATCTCACTTCCCCCCCTCGCTCGCCGCCGACGTCTGGTGGGCCTCCTGGCGGTCTTGGGGGTTGTCTTGGGTAGCGGAGCACTCGCAGTGCCGCGCCGCGCTCCCCCCCGTCCGGGGCTGCTGTTGGGCTCAATGATGGGGCCTTTTTCCCCGTCTTGGGGCCCCCCTGTGGGCCGTCCAGCCTCGTGGGCGCCTCTCGGGCCGCCTTGGGGCGATCTTGGGGGCTTCGTGGGTCGTTTGAAGGCGTCGCAAGCCCGAGAGGGCAAGCTCGCCAGAAGTCAAACAGCTCACGGGAAGTCATGGATGGTTGCTGGTCGGAGCCCTCCTGGGGGGCCTCTTGGAGCCCTTCGGGGCCGTGGTGGGCCGTCTGGAGGCCTATCTTGCGGGTGCCTCTTGGGGCCGTCTTGGGCTTTTCGGCGTCATAATCCAAGAAGCCGCGCCGTGCCCCAGAGACATCGTGAATCTGGAGGCCTGGCCCGACTTCGTTCATTCATCCAGGACTGAGGGCGGGGAACTTCAAGGGACCCGAGAGCACTCCACCCCGTGCCTCAGGCCACGGTGGCGGGTATGCTGTTCATGGAGGTGGTTTGGCGACCAGGGTCTGGCTGGGGCAATCTTGGGCCCCAGGAGGGCGCACGGAGATCCTCCCGGCCTCGGCTGGCAGGGCGCGCCCTGCGCCACTGGGCATGCCGGGGCCGGGAGCGGCCGCTGCCAGGCACGGCTGTGGTTTTGGAGGTACGGTAGGTTCGCGTCGTGTCGACCGGCGGCGACCCCAGCGCGGGCGTTCAAGGTTGAACGCCGCGGGCGACCCAGAATCGGTCGAGGTTGAACGATCGGACGTTGCGGCAGCGGCCGATCGTTCAAGGTTGAACGATCCCTGCGGTGTCAAAAACCAACGCTGGGGTCGGCACGACACGAACCTGCCGTAGTTAAAAGGGGTATGGTATGAAGGGGTGTGGTGTTGATTGCATGTACAAGGGAACTCTGGCGATGTTATTTATCGCAGATAGCATCGCCATTTCCACGATTGGCACCATACCTCTTCATGCCACACCCCTTTCCGACCTCCAGAGTGGTGTGCAAGCCCCCCTCCATCCCTCCCTTAGGGGAACGAAATGTGGCATAAACATAAGAACTATGAGGTCCGCGCGGATTTCTTGGATCCGCCCTGGGTCCCCCCCCCCACCCTGGCGCGCGGGACGCGCCACGGGCGGCGCCGGAGGCGCCGCCAGGGGGGTCCAGCGCGGATTTGAGAAATCCGCGCGGACCTCTGAGTTTTTATGTTTATGCCACTCTGCGTTCCCCTCTTCCTCCCTCCCTCCCGCCCTTCCTGTGCCACGGCTGTGGTGTGCAAGTGCCTCGCCTTCGCAGGGGCGGGGCGGGCCAGGAGGAGCCAGAGGCCCATGGAGGCGTGAGGCTCGAGTGCGCCGGGGCTCGGGTTCGCTTGCGCTGCTTGGCGAGCCCGTCCTGACGAGTTTGACGGTCCAGTGTTCGCGGGATATGTCTGCAGCGGGAGTCCGCGTCAGATTTCAGACTGGGTCGCGTTATTTTCCATGGTGGCCCTTGTCGGGCCAACCCGAGTCCCTTGAACCCGATTCTTACAGCCGGACCGAGGCATGAGATCGAGGTCGGTTCGGGGGGGGTACCTTCATGTTCTTCGTGCATGTTGGATGTCCTTGTGCGCCCTGGGGAGGATACCCTTGGATGTTCCCTTGGACGTTCTGTGTGTTTTTGGCTGGCGCGAGGGCCGGGGCTACTCTTCTGGCCCAAGTCTGACTGCGTTTCCCCGACACGGCTCGTGCTCTCGAGGGATGTTCTTCTTTTCGAGGGATGTTCTTGCTCTCAAGGGATAGCCTTGCTATCGAAGGATCTCTCTGAAGTGCCTTGTGCTCTCGAGGGAGATACTCTTATGGCCCAAGTCTGACTGCGCGTTTCCCCATCAGAAGGAGGCCTGGCGCCCGACCCGACGAGGCGGGGGGGCTGGCAAGGAGCGCCTTGCCTAGTAGTAGTAGTAGTAGTAGTAGTAGTAGTAGTAGGAGGAGGAGGAGGAGGAGGAGGAGGAGAAGGAGGCTGGAGCAGCGGCTGGCGGAGGCGGGTTCGCAGCGGCGGCGGACGGAGGTCGAGCATCGAGGAAGCTTCGTTGTTCCCCAATACAGGAGGAGGGGGAGGAGGAGGAGGGAGGAGGAGGAGGAGGAGGAGGAGGAAGGAGAGGAGGAGGAGGGGGGGGGAGAGGAGAGGCGGGGAGGAGGAGGAGGGGAGGAGGAGGAGGAGGAGGGGAGGGGAGGAGGAGGAGGGGAGGAAAGAGGAGGAGGAGGAAAGAGGAGGAGGAGGAGGAGGAGGAGGAAGAGGAGGAGGAGGAGGAGGAGGAAAAGAGGAGGAAATAGGAGGAGGTGAGGAGGAGGAGGAGAGGGAGGGGGAGGGGAGAGGAGGAGGAGGAGGAGGAGGAGGAGGAGGAGGAGAGGGCGCGAGAGCGGGGGTCAGGCGGAGGGGGAGAGCTGCGAGATCAGAGATCCGCGCCCCGTGCCGGGGGCCTCCGCCCCGCCCCCGAGGCAGTCCAGCGCACGATCGCCTCGAGCGACCTCGCCTCTGGCGCGAGCTGCGCCAGGCTGGAGCAGCGGCTGGCGGAGGCGGGTTCGCAGCGGCGGCGGACGGAGGTCGAGCATCGAGGAAGCTTCGTTGTTCCCCAATACAGGAGGGGGGGGAGGAGGAGGAGGGGAGGTAGGGAGGAGGGAGGAGGGAGGCGGGAGGAGGGAGGATGGGAGGAGGGAGGAGGGGGAGGAGGAGGGAGGAGAGAGGAGGGAGGAGGGAGGAGGGAGGAGGAGGGAGGAGGAGGGCGGAGGGAGGAGGGAGGAGGAGGATTGAGGGAGGGAGGAGGGAGGAGTGGCGGAGGAGGAGGGAGGAGGGGTAGGGAGGAGGAGGAGGGAGAGGGTAGGGGGAGGAGGGAGGAGGGAGGAGGGAGGAGGGAGGAGGGAGGAGGGAGGATGGAGGAGGGAGGAGGGAGGAGGGAGAGGAGGAGGGAGAGGAGGGAGGAGGGAGGAGGGAGGAGGGAGGAGGGAGGAGGGAGGAGGAGGAGGAGGAGGAGGAGTGAGGCGGAGGAGGAGGAGGAGGAGGAGGAGGAGGAGGAGGAGGAGGAGGAGGAGGAGGAGGAGGAGGAGGGGGAGGGGGAGGGGGAGGGGGAGGGGAGGGGAGAGGGAGGGAGAGGGAGGAGGGAGGATGGGATGAGGGGAGGGGAGGGAGGAGGGGAGGGAGGAGGGGAGGCGGAGGCAGAGGCGGAGGCGGAGGCGGATGCAGAGGCGGAGGAGGAGGAGGAGGAGGAGGAGGAGGAGGAGGAGGAGGAGGCGGAGGCGGAGGCAGAGGAGGAGGAGGGGGAGGAGGAGGAGGAGGAGGAGGAGGAGGAGGAGGAGGAGGAGGAGGAGGAGGGGAGGAGGATGAGGAGGAGGAGGAGGAGGGGGAGGAGGCTTCGTCGTTCCCCCAACCAGTCGGACCGAGGTATGAGGTCGTCATCTTTTTGTTCATTCACTGTTTTGCCGTTCGGCGCGGGCTCTCGCCCCCCACCCCCTCCCCCCCCTGGAGTATACCTTGGCTGTTTGAGTCTCCCCCCTGGGACGCACGGTTGCAAACAGTCGCACTAAGCAGAGGTCCAGAGCCAGACCCCCCTCTCCACCCCCCCTCCGCCTGATGTCGAACCGCCGAATCAGAATCGCTCACACATCGAGGTCCTGGGGAGGGTACCCCTGGATGTTCTTTTTGTTTTAGCCGACGGAGGGTCTCATGTTCGTGAGGGATGATATCCTGGCCCAGGTCTGGCTGCATCCTGCGATGGGGTCTCGTCATCATTCGTGTGATGCTCCGTCCTCCTCCGTCGCTTCCTCCGCCTCCCACGCTTACTCGTGTTCGATCCGGCTCCGTCATGCTCAGATCCACCCAATACTCCGCTTGGACGTCACGTGCTCAGGTTTATCCACATTCAGTCACTCAGAGTCTTGATCGCTAACACTCAGACTCACTCGTACTCAGACCCACTCATGCTCAGACTCATTCATACTCAGATCCACGCGCACTCATGTTCACGCACACTCAGACTCACGTACTCAGACCGCTTACATGCCGCATACGCACTCAGAATCAGATGAGTCATACCTTACCCGCACTCTGTCACTCACACTCAGACCCAGCCACACTCGCTCCTCTTACCCAGTCTCGCCCATCCTCACCGCGATGTAGAGGGCGCGGCACTGGCGCACCACAGGGAGGAGCCGCCAGGGAGGAGGGGAACATCTGTACGTTCGCGGCCAGAAGGTGGGGGTGTCTCGAGTGAGGGACTCGTTTGGAGTCGCCGACTCCTTTTCTTTGAGACCCCCCCCTGTGATCACCGCGATGTATCAGATTTGGCACTTGAGCACGCTCTCCGTGGAGCAGACGCCAGGGGGGATTGTTGTTCCGTTCGCGCCCAGATTCTGTGGGACGCTTCGAGCGGTTCTCTCGTTTTGGTGCCCCCAGTGCCTTCTTTGAGAGCATCATGCGTCCCGCGATGCAGCATACAGCGCAGTCGGACACCCCAAGGAGGAGCCGCCAGGTAATAGCTGTTATTTGTCGCTCGCACCCAATGTGTGTGCATGTCATGAACGGCTCGCTCGTTTGGTGTCCCTGACCCCTCTTGGTTGAACACCTCACACTCACCTCGATGTAGCAGGCATGGCACTCGGGCACCCCAAGGAGGAGCCGCCAGGGGAAATGTACTATTTGTTTTTCGCGCCCAGATTGTGTGCAAGACATGAGCAGTCTGCTCGTGTGGTGTCCCTGACTCCTCTTTGTTGAAAGCCTCACGCTCACCGCGATGCAGCAGGCATAGCATTCGGGCACCCCACGGAGGAGCAGCCAAGGAGTATGTGCTTATTCCGTTCGCCTTCGGTTGCTCGCTTTTGAACCTCATGCCCGCCGCGATGCAGCAGGCATAACACTCGGGCAACCCAAGGAGGAAACACCAGGGGGTGTTGCCCTTGCCTGTTCGCGCTCAGATGTCGGGGATCTCTCGAGAGTGACGCTCGTCTGCCGTCCCCGACTCCTGTCTTATGAGCGCCCCAGGACCACCTCGACGTAGCAGGCGTAGCAGTTGGGCACCCCGAGGAGGACGCGCCGTGGGGGTGTCGGACGTGCCCGTTCGCGCCCAGCTTGTGTGTGTGTGTCTCGTGCGGTTCACGGGTTCTGGTACCCCTCTGCCCCTCCCCCTTCTATGCACGTGCACTGTCTCGTGGATCCGTTATGGCCTTTTCCCGGTCCTCCCAGAGGGCCAGCGCGCCTCGAAGCGCGCCCGTCGCCCAGCCATGGGCCGCTTCCGGGCGATGACGGTTCGCTGTTTCGCTGGTACCCCCGTCTCTCCTCTTGTGATGGTTTCATGGTCATCGCGATGTATCGGGCATGGCGCTCGGGTGCTTCAAGGGAGGCAGGCCAGAGCTGTTGCACGTGCCCGATGGCAGCCATGTCGCGGGGACGTCTCAAACGAAACGCTGATTCGGGTACCTGCGACTCCTCTCCTTCTTCTTCCCCCAAGCCTAAGACACGCACAGTGTCGGCCGACCAGATCTGACGACAGGGGCGAGTGAGGCGCACAGCCTTGATACATACATAGCGTGATCCCTTCGATCGCCTGAGCTCCAGCCCTGAAACATGAAATTAGGAGTCGGGATAAACGTTCGAGCCATCGCTATCGGATGACTCTTTTCTTTTCAGAGTCCCAAGGTTATCCCAATTCCGAGGAGGAGGTGAAGGACGAGGAGGAGGAGTAGGAGGAGGAGGGGGAGCCGCCGGGAAGCGCTCAGTCGCCACGGGCTAAGACTCGCTCGGCCACTCACAGCTGGAAGTACCAGGAAAGGATGTGCACATATGTCTTGGGATCCCCGCGTCGAACACTCTGCGAGGGTCGCGAATCGAGAATCACATGTCGTTGTTGCACTTGGGGGCCTCCGAGCGGGCTCTCTGGGCATCCCTCTGGGAACATCAGCTGGCCACCCAACCGATCTATGATCCAGGGCCCTGGAAACGACAGGGCCGTTTTTGTTACCCGTTCCGTTTTGCAGTTGTTTTACTTGTTCCGTCACTGTTTTTGCCGGTTCCGTCGCCGTTGTTTCTTGGTTCTGGTTCCAATCCCAGTCCCAGTGCGGATTGTTTTGCCGTTTCCAGTCGTTGTTTTTGTTATTGCTTCCATATTCAAGAGACACTTTTCGAAAACGATGAAAAAACGGCCCTGCCGTTTCCTGGGCCCACTAAGCCCCAAACACATGGGATCAGGCCCCCCTTGCTGGATGGGTACGCCCGTGGGCTTCGTGAAGGCCGCGCGAATTGGATGGCCCCCCCCTGTGGTCGTGGCCGTGGGGGCGTAGCATGGTGGTGGGTGCTGGTGCCCCCTCCCCTCCCCCTGCGGGTGTGGAGTGGTTCGTCGCCGTGATCTTCCGTCGTGTCGTCGTCGTCGTCGTCGCCTCCCCCATCCTATCTGGGGGGAGGGGGGGCTATGGAATCCTGGGGCCCCTCCCATCTGGGGGGGGGGCCTGTGAACTCTGGGGGGGGCCTGTGAACCCTCGACCCAGGATCACGTGTGGCCAGGTCTGGGCCCAGGGTCGGAGACTAGGGTCGTTCCGAGGTTTAAGATCGAGGTCGCCTCGGGGAGGGTATTCTACATCCCTCGTCGAAATCGAGCGCAAGTGTTTCTCACGACATGGCGACGCCCCCAGACTCCCAAGTACAATGCTGACGCCAACACTGGCGACTGCATCTGTTTGGTTGACCCCGCAGGCCGCGATGCGCGCGGCCATCAGCATTGAAATTCGGCGGCGAGGGGGTCGGATCAAAACTTGTGTCTGATTTCGAGGAGGGCTGTAGTGTTCTTCGTGTTTGTTGGATGTTCTCGTGCATCCTTGGGGAGGGTGCCCATGGATGTTCTGCATGCTTTGGCCAGCTAAGGGTCTCGTAGTCTTGGAGGGTGTTCTTCTGTCCCGCTGTAGGCCCTGCCTTGCGCCTTCGGGGCCCAGCCAGGAGGGCACATACTGTGGACTACGATCACTTAAGAGGAGACATGTTGCCAAACAAATTCCAGAGGCGTAAGAAGCGTATTCAGCATGGCGTAAGCATGTTAAAACATTTGAAACGTCTGTTCAGCACATGCTTAAGGCACGTGTGAAGCATTCACACATGCAATACCAATCAACAACATGTTCAATTCAACGACAACGCTGTTGGAGTGGCCATTGCCCTGGTATCCACACGGTGAATGCACCCCTCCTGTGCCCACAATCTGCCCGGCTCCTCCTCCCCCTCCCCCTCCACCTACTCCGCTTCCGTAGCCTTTTGGCTCAAGCCATTTTGGCTCAAGCCGTTCTGGTTCTTGAGGGTGGTGGCCCGCAGAGCTTCCGCAGGCGCATTCAGAGCGGCTCGTCTGCGGGGAGCCATGTCCGGGCTGTGAGCAGCGCGGGCGGCGACGAGGCGATGGAGAAGGTGGCCTTCGGCCAGCCACTCCTCATCGCCCGCCGCGGGCAGGTGGAGCTCGAGGTGTACTCGTACAACGTCGCGGACGCGATGATTGTCGGGTTTTTCGCTGGGGCAGCGGAGGGCGAGTGCGAGGCCTTGGGGGGAGGCGCTGGGCCAGGGCACGGACCTGAAGTGGTTGCAGGACTGCGACGAGCTTCCTCCCGTCCCCACCTTCCCGACGCTGGAGATGACGACGGTGCAGAGCTGCGTGGGCTTCGAGGCGATCGAGGGCACCGCCGAGGTGCCGAGCGTCGCGGGCCCCAGCGACGAGGAGAAGGTGATCAAGCTGGAGTTCGGAAACGGGGTTGGCGCTGGCGGCGCGGGCCTCGAGGCGGACTCCGAGCGGGTCGAGACGACGGCGGAGGTGCCGACGGTGCTGCGCACCAACATGGGGCAGCTCGCGGTGGGCAGCGCGAGCAAGGACCTGCTGGAGTTCGTGAGCGGGGTCGACATCAAAGACGTCGAGGACCTTCCCAGGGAGACGATCAAGCTGGAGGACAAGCTGGACCGTGCTGCTGGGGAGGCCCACATTCCCGAGGAGACGGTCAAGCGGAGGACGACCACATGCCGCGGAACGAGTTCGCGGTCGGTGGTCGTGCAGGAGATGACCATGCACGAGGCCTTGGTGGGTGTGGCCGTGCAGGGCGAGGTGCCGAGCGCGGGAGTGCGGCGGAGCTGGGAGGCCACGGTGGAGGCCAACCAGCTGGCGCACGCGAGGGCGGCCGCCGCGGCGCCATGCCGCCACGCCCAGTGGCGGCTCGAACATGACGAGCTGGAGGGCGTTGCGGTGCCCGCCCGCTCCGAGGAGGTGCAGCATTTCGAGGAGCTGGTCGTTGAGGGCTCCTTCGAAGTGCCGCACGGCGTCGAGGAGCCGGCCGCGGAGGTGCAGGTGGACCTGGCCGTAGGAAGGTTTTCTGTTACCTTGGGCCAGGGCCGCGTCGTGTTTGCAGCAGCGCGGGGCCTCCTCTGGGACGAGGTCTTCGGGGAGGCCGTGGAGAAGGGGCCCCTCCAGTCTTGCGGGTCCCACCAGTCGTTCGCGGCCCTCCTGGAGCCCTGGTGCGAGCACATCTTCGAGCAGGTGCAATCGGGGGAGCGCCCGAGGGCGCGCGGCAAGGTCGACGAGGGCAGGCTGCGGGCTCTGGCGGGCCAGAGCGACTCCCAGGATCGCATCCACGCGCTCAGCCTAGTGTTGCAGGGCAGGCACCAGGAGTTGTTCGACGAGATCGGCGAGGCTGCCCGTCGGGCGCGAGCCCCGTCACAAGCGAGGCTTGGCACTCAGGGGTTCCTGGGCTGAGTGGGCGGTAGCTATGCGTAGTCGCTGGATTCGGCTCGGAACGCTGGTGTTTTTCTGGGGGCGGCTTGGGGGCTGCTTCGTTTTCGGGCCGCGGGGTCCTGGGGGCGGCCTTTGCGGCTGCGTTCGGTTGCCCGTTGGTCTCCGTCACGGCGGAGAGGGGGGGCCTTGGCCACGGCCATCCCCTCCTGGGAAGGCCGCTGCTGGGGTGCACCTGGTCGGCGAGACCCTGGGGCCCCTCGTCGCCCCTCCCGCTTGCGCGCGCCGTCGCGGCGGCAGGCGGACTTCGGTCCGCCCAAGTCCATTCCATTCCTCCTCCGCCTCCTCCTCCGCCTCCTCCTCCATGGCATCCACACAACGCGGGCACCCCTCCTGGGCCCACAATCTGCCCGGTTCCTCCTCCTCCTCCTCCTCCTCTCCTCCTCCTCCTCCTCCTCCCCTCTCCTCCTCCTCCCCCTCCCCCCTCCCCCCTCCCCCCTCCCCCCCCCCCCCCCCCCCCCCCCCTCCTCCTCCTCCTCCTCCTCCTCCTCCTCCCTCCTCCTCCTCCTCCTCCTCCTCTCCTCCTCCTCCTCCCTCCTCCTGCTCCTGCTCCTGCTCCTCCCCTCCTCCTCCTCCTCCTCCTCCTCCTCCTCCTCCTCCTCCTCCTCCTCCTCCTCCTCCGCCGCCTCCTTCTCCGTTGCATCCACACGGCGCATGCACCCCTCCCGGGTCCGCAGTTTGCCCGCCAAACGTCTCCCAAGCGCGGGGGGCCTCCCGGGGGCTACCCCGCGGGACCCCCCGCCCCCATTCGGGCCCCCGAGGCCCTTTGGAGGGTCGTTTGGGACCGCGCCCTCGTGCCGCGCCCTGCTACAAGGAAGAGGAGGAGGAGGAGGAGGAGGAGGAGGAGGAGGAGGAAGAGGAGGAGGAGGAGGAGGAGGAGGAGGAGGAGGAGAGGTGGTCCAGCTACAGGGAAAGGGAGGAGGAGGAGGACGAGGAGGAGGAGGAGGAGGAGGAGGAGGAGGAAAAGGAAGAGGAGGAGGAGGAGGAGGAGGAGGAGGAGGAGGAGGAGGAGAAAGAGAGGGAGGAGAACAAGCAGGAGGACCAGGAGGAGAGGGATCGGCTACGCGTAAGAGTCACCCCTCGCCGGAGGGACTGTTGGTTTGTGGCCTGCGTGGTGCGCGGGAGGGCCAAGGCCAAGCACGCACTGCCGATGTTGTCGCATTGCATGCAGCGATGGTCTGGTTGACCCACAAGGGTGTCTAGCTACAAGGGGGTGGTGCAATAGATCTTGTGCAATATATTTGGGGTGTGCAATACTTTCCAGGGCGCAAATGTATTGCCAGATTTTCGCACGCAATACATTCGTTGCAGTACGGTGCAATGCAATTCTCCGGCGCGATACATTTGCAATACAATTGCCCAAAATATATTGCACCACCCTTTTTCAGCTGGACCTCGTTTTTGGGTCACGCAAGTCCTGCCCCTGCGGTTTAATCGGGCCTGTCCCTCTACAGGGGAATATTCAAAATGGTCAGATCACAGTCAGGGAACGTTTTTTGGGTAAAGTTTTTGTTGAACATGTTTTGAAATTTGGTTTGAGTGGTTTTTTCTTCTCGTCCAAAATCCGCCTGTAGGACGCCCGACCTAACTCTACCGCTCAGAGGAGGAAAAGGTGCCAATGCGCGCCAGTCGTTGAGAACGTAGGAATTCCTGGACTCCCAGATTCCGATCTATTTCAGCGCCTGCCTACTTTTGTGATCGAGTGCCTTTCCCTCTACCTTCCCCTTCAGGGGGCGGGCGGAAGCCCAATCTATCTCCGACGCCTTCCTGCTCGTTGGTTCCACTGCCCTTCCCTCGTTTTCGCTTTTTGGGGGCCTCCCGGGCGGTTCTCGTCGCCACCGCTGGATTCGCCTCGAAATCCTGATCGAAGCGCACCCTGGGAGAGGTCCAGGGAGCAGTGGTGTCGGTATCTTCTGGTTTCCCATGCGGCCGCGGCACGCACCTCCAGGAATGTAGAAAGAGGGGGCAATGCAGAGGGCGCGTAGGTGAATCACGACCAGGCCTCGAACGGAATAGGTAGTGTGCAGGCCAAATCGCGACAGCGCGGGGCCCAGAGACTCAGTGCGGCTGCCCCCCTCACAGCAGGGCTGCCTCCTCAAGCTAGTGGGGTCCTGGTCGGATAGCTGCAGTGGAGGATGCGCTGAGGGTGCCGCCTGGTCATCGGGAATTCCACGGTCAGAGCAAGGACGTGACGGCGTGTGGAAGACAGTTGCCGAGCAAGTCTGGTATTGCTGCAGGCAGCCTGTCCCCCTCTCTCGCTCTCTGTCTCTGTCTCTCTCTCTCTCTCTCTCGGCCATGGGGTCGGCGCGTGTCGCCGTGAAAACGACGCGCCTTGTTGTTGAGCCGATGTGCCGTCCGATGTGGCATGTGGCACGGCGTGTGAACGAAATGAGACTCGCGGCAGCATGTGGAGTGCGATGCCAAGATCGCCGTGAGAGTGTTGCTTGCCGCAGGTATTTTACGTCAACCTCCTGTGCCCCGGCTCGGCTCCAGCTCCTGGGAGGTGCAATTCAGCAATTCAGCATCAGAGTTGGTAGATCCGCGGTCGGAAGTCGCCACAATCTCGTTTGCTGTCGCTTGATCTGGCCCAATGCTGGCCTCGTTCGGGTTGAATCCTGCGCAATGGCCCTCCTCCTCTTCATCCTCCTCATCCTCCTCCTCCCTTTGATCGGTCTTAGTAGCCTTCAATCGTTTCCACGAAGACTTCCCAGGAGCTGCCTTTTCTGGCCCCTGACGGCTGCTCCGCCCACCCGCGTGCGCTGGCAAGACGGTGGTGACCGGGGATGTGGCGGAGCGGCAGCGCTCAGAGGCCACAGTGAGCTATCCGCAGGCCACGGTGTCGTGATTGTCGAAGTAGAAAGAGCGCCAAAAACTGTTGTTTATGTCATTATTTTTCTGGAATGACCGCGCAGGTGCCACGGTGCAGCAAGTACAGCTGGCACGAGGGTCAAGGACAGCGCCAGCTTTGGAGAGATGGCCTCGTGTTCTCTGGGTTGGGCCTCTTCCGTCTTGGACTGTGCCTCGCTCTCTGGTCAAGGAGGGCTTTGGGCCTTCGGCGGAGGGGCTCGTGTGCTGGACCTGCGTTCGCGTGGCCACGTTTTGGATGTGGCGTGGTGCAGAGACAGTTCTGGTACGGTAGGTTCATGTCGTGTCGACGGGCAGCGACCCCGCCGCCGGCGTTCAACGTTGAACGCCGCCGGCGACCCAGAATCGGTCGATGTTGAGCGATCTGACGTCTCGGAAGCGGCCGATCGTTCAAGATTGAACGATCCCCGCGGTGTCAGGAACCAAGGCCGAAGTCGACAAGACACGAACTTGCCGTACCTGTGCTGCTGGCAGGCGGAGTCCCAGTGCGGGTACGTTACCAGCAAGCTGGAAGAGGCGGCGCACTGCTGTTTTTTCTCGGACCAGATGCAGGAAGTGCTGCCATATGTCGGGTGAGGAGGAGGAGGAGGAGGAGGAGGAGGAGGGAGAAGATAACGAGGGATATGACCACGATGAGCAGGAGTAGGAAGAGAAGCATGGTGTGCATGGACGGACGGCAACGGGCATGAAAACGTGGAGTTGCGAACGTTAATGTTGAATGTGCTGGCTGCAGCGTCGCCCCCCTCTTTGCTCGCCAGCCAAGTCGCTAGTTGGTGCCCCTATCCAGCTTCTCGCTGGAACGGAGCTTGCCGCCTCGCGCTCTCAAAAAAACAGCTGCGTGCCGAACAAAGGCGAGGCGGAAGTTGAGCGCCGTTTTCCGCCTCACGGTGCGCTTTCGGGACCCAGGGCCATCATGCAAGGACCTGTGACGAAAAGCTGAGCGTATTGGAGCACATGGTGTGATAAACAAGATAAGCATGGCCTCTCCACGAGTCGACCATCATTCACTGCCATATGTTGGGTGAGGAGGAGGAGGAGGAAGATAATGAAGAATATGACCACGATGAGCAGGAGTAATTACAAAAGAGAAGCATGATGTGATCACGGACGGTCGGCAACGGGCATGACAACGGAGAGTTGCGAACGTTGATGTTGAATGTGCTGGATGCGCGTATTGGAGCACATGGTGTGATGAACAGGATAGGCACGGGCTCTCGACGTCGACCATCACTCATTGCATCCCCCCGAGCAGCCCCATCATCTTTCCCTTCGTTCACCGAGCGAGCTCCACTACTCGCAAAATGCCTATTCCCAAATGTCCGAAAAACACATGTCTGCTTCAATATAATTTCTCGTAGGTCCCCCCCAGCGGATCCAGGAGCAGCTACTTTGCGAGTAGTGGAACGCGCTCGTCTATTCGTCCAGCCTTAAGTCGAGCCTGTCCTCCTACAGGGGGATTTTGGACGAAAGACAAAACATGGTCAAACAATACCCCAGAATTGCCCAAAAAATGAAACATCGTCCCCTGGCGATGTGTTCCGTAGAGGGACAGGCCCGGCTCAAGTCCAGCCCCATCTTCGTGGCACAGTCCGCCGAGACCGACCTCGACTCTCGAGCACCGCTTGCGCTCGTCAGCCATCTCGCCGCCAGAAGGTGCAGGACAGGGTCGTGCTGTTGTCCGAGGAGCTGAACAAGGCTCGCGGCCCCTGCGCCTACAACGATATGCGACATTTTTTCCGCCTGTTACTCAAAGCCTGGCTCCCCAGAGGTCTGGACCCCTTCCAGGTGACCCCGACTCTTCATCACGAGCAGTTTGTGAGCGCTCCGCGGCCTGGCAAGTGCCCCCGAAGTCTGACAATTGCCAAGCATGCGGGGTCGTGATGTGTTGTTACTCGACGCGAGGATGTCGGAGACCGTTCGTTTCCCCCTTACCTCGACTTCTCCCTCCTTTCCTTCCTTCCCCATCCTCTCCCTTCCCCATCCGCTCCCTCCCTCCACCCCCGTCCCCTGCCCTCCCGCGGCCTCGGCGCTCACTCTGCCACTTGACAGACGTCGTCGTTTGTCGCCGAGGGGTGCGAAGGAGGAGGAGGAGGAGGAGGAGGAGGAAGAGGAAGAAGAGGAGGAAGATGAGGACGACGACAGAGGAGGAGAAGAAGGAGGAGGAGGAGAAGGAGGACGAGGAGGAGGAGAGGGATCGGCTACGCATAAGAGTCACCCCTCGCCGGAGGGACTGTTGGTCTGTGGCCTGCGTGGTGCGCGGGAGGGCCAAGGCCAAGCACGCACTTCCGATGTTGTCGCATTGCATGCAGCGATGGTCTGGTTGACCCACAAGGGTGTCTAGCTACAAGGGGGTGGTGCAATAGATCTGGTGCAGTAGATTTGTGGGTTGCAATCGATTTGGGGCGTGCAATACATTCCAGGGTGCAAGTGTATTGCCAGATTTTCGCGTGCAATACACGAGTTGTAATGCAATACAAGTCAATTCTCTGGCGGAATACATTTGCAATACAATTGACCCAAATCTATTGCACCACCCCCTTTCAGCTGGACCCCCTGTTTGGGTCACCCGAGAATGGGCAAGACGTTGAGCCGAGGTCCCTCTGGCCCGGGATCACTCCTGCGTGCAGCCGACCCTGCCCCCTCCTCGTCCTGCTGCTGCTAGCGCCATTCCTCCTCGTCCTCCCTCCTCGTCCTCCAGCGCCCCGCCCTCCTCCTGCGCTCCCTTCTCCTCATCTTCGGGTTTTGCACCCCTCACCTCGGGACCCTTGACCTCTGAAGACTGCTCGCTCAGTCAACCCGCATAGGAAGGATGAGCAACTTTCCAAGGTTACCCTTGCATCCTTCCCTTCGGCCCATCCTTGGCCGCTTTCGCTGGCCGCGCCCAACTCGCAAAGCGTCGGCATGGCCTTTACTACGCATCCTGATTATACGGGTTGACTTTATCGTCGTCGTCACCCCCCTTGACTCCTCCCGATCGTTGTCCTCCTTCTCTGCCTCCTCCTTTCTTCGCTTTCGAGTGCACGGTAGGTCGCACGTCCTCCGAGGTTGCTCCTGGGGTGATGTGGTTTTGTCGAGTGTTCTTTCGATGTACGACCCGATACCGATTCGCCGCCGCCGCCTCCTCCTCCTCCTTATCCTGGCTCCTCCTCCTCCTTCTCCTCCTCCTACTCCTCATCTTCCTCCTCCTCCTCCTTCTCCTCCCTCGTCCTCCTCCTCCTTCTCCTCATCCTCCTTTTCTGCCTCATCCTCCTACGCCTCTGCCGCCTCTCCGCCGCTTGTTTCTCCACGTCCTTCCCGGTCGCGCGGAGCACCATTTGGCGCCGCTCCGAGACGCGTGCACGTTTTCTCGTCGGGGGCCATCGAGGGGCACCCCGGATCATCTCGCGACAAATACGCGCACGAAGCCAAAACATGAACGGGGAATGGACGTCCGAGCGATGGCAAGACCATGGGTAGAGGAGGGGCAATTTTTTTGTCGTAACTGCGCTGGCGGTGCCAGTAATCCTTGTTGCCCAAAGTTGTTTGTCGTGACGGCGCAGCTGCTTCCTTTTCCTCGTCCTCCTCGCCCTCCTCTCATTGGCTGGTCGGTCCGATCCTTGAGGTCACTGGTCGCCCACATCCAGAATTGGCTTCCTCTTGATTTTTGGGGAGGTCGTCAGGGAGTCTGCCGGCACCCCGCTCTCTGTGTACCATTGCGTGTCCTGCGTGTCTGCACGTAGGTGTTCTGTGGTCGGAGCGGGTGAGGGGCCTGTGCGGCCGCCCCCCTCGTTTCTCGCTTGAAAGAGGGGGCAGTGGCCAGAGCGCACGCCATTGCTATCGTGGCCTGTGTGCCACCTGCTCGCCCTGGGAGACCTGTCCACAGTGGCACTAGGAAGGAAGGAAGAAGGGTAGAGGAGGGGAGGAAGCGCCAGCGGCATGTTTTGCCAGCGCTGCCCGTCGCAGCACGCTCACGCCAGGCAAGGCTTGAACAACTGCGCGGGTTGCGCATCGATCTGCGTGTGTTCTCCGCTGCGCGTCCGCCTTCGGCAGACTGTGAATCAGGCAGGCCTCCCTTGGTGACGCTATCGCTGCCCCAGAAAGCCGAGTTCATTCCGCTCCCGGCCATTCTGGTCCAGCGCCCATCCCTCTACAGAGAGAACACATGCCTAGAAACATCCTGCTTGCCTCCAGGGTCCCCTGGGTTTCTCGGGTTTCGATGATGTTCGTAAACATTTTCATCGACAGCGGGACGCTCCCACACCCAAAGTCAATGGACATCCTGGAGTTTCAGGGTTGGATTTCTGGTGGAAGGTGTCTTAAGGTCGAGCTCCTACAGCATCGCTGCCCCAAGAAAACGCGTCCATCCCGCTTCCGGCCACGCCAGCCCAGCTCCCAGCCCTCGCTACCACGCCCGCCACCCCGCCCTTGTCGTTCCGCCTGCGGCCCGACTTTCCCACGCCCCCCCCACCTTTCTCAAGAGTTAAGTCGGGCATGTCCCTCTACAGGAGGAGTGTTCAAAACAAGTCAAAAAATAGTCTGGGGACGATTCTTCGACTACTTCTGATCATTTTTGAATATTTTTGATTATTTTTCGTTTGTCGTCCAAAATCAGCCTTTAGGACGACATGCCCGACCTTTCCCAAGAGCCTCCTCACATCACTGCCACCCCCAGCGAGTCCGACTGGGTCCGTCGCGTCAACCCCCATCTGCTCGACACTGTGTGTGGGCGTGTCTTGGCATCGCTCGGAGACGTGTGTGTTTTTTTCCTCCGCGAGGACCATCGAAGAGCATCTTGGCTCATCTTGCGGAAAAGAAACTCACACGAAACCGAACAATACACGGGGAATGGACGTCCGAGCGATGGCAAGTATATGTGTGTGCTCTCACTGCCAGCTGCAGCTCTCGGCTGCTCCCCCCAGCTCCAGCTCAGCGCAGTTCAGTACAGCCTGTGCCGGTGCTGCCCCCCCAGGCGCTGTCCCCTGCCGCCCCCCCGTCGCGCCGGGGTTCCTCCTCTTCCCGTGAATTGCGGCCTGAATTTGCATACATCGTGTCCCCTGTTGCCACTCCGCCAGAGCAGTCGACCTCTGCCCAGCCGCCGACGCAAAATGTGTGTGTGTGTGTGTGTGTTTGCGTGTGTGTGCGTTCGTTCGTTCGTTCGTTCGTTCGTTCGTTTGTTCGTCCTACGTCAAAGGCGGGACGCCGTATCCGCGCACCGTCTCAAGCCAGGCCGCACGCCAAGGCAAGCGATGCATGCTGCAGTTGATGAGGGGGCGGTGCGTGGGTGGGGCACGGTCCGCTGTGCAGCCACCCGACAGACACCAATATACACACCCCGCCGCACGCTGCTCCAGATGCACCATGGCGGCGAGCGGGAGAGGAGGGACGAAAGAAAGATGAGCAGGACGAGGAGGAGGAGGAGGAGAAGGAAAGCGCCCTGGGAAGGGGCGCTCTGCCACACAGCACGGGGCCGAAGGTGTTCAGGACGGTCTCATCGATCACGGACTCCCCCAAGAGCGGCCCCCAGAAAGGCAGCGCCGACCCGCCAGGGTGCGAGACCCACCTTGACCACAAAATGCTGTGCCAACAGCTGGTCGCACATGCCGCAGCCGCAGAATTCGGACAGGGACCGCGACTTCAGGGAGCCACACTACGGCGGCGAGCGGGAGAGGAGGGGAGGAGGAAGGGCGATGAAAGGGGAGAGAAGGACCACGCGAGCCTCTTGGCCGCGCCCGGGCAGACGCAGCATGCAAGCGTATGCCGCTGAATCACGCGACCAAACCGCAACGGCGACCCAGGAGGGAAACGGCCGCACCGGCAGTGCGCACCGCAGCGCATCACGGCGCAGCGAAGCTGTGCGTGTGAGTGCGCGCGAGGCCACACAGCACAGAACAGCACAACACATCAGAACACATCACATCACAGCACCAAGCTGGTGTGTGCATTTGTGAGTGTTCTGCGTGTGTGTGTGTGTGCTTGCTTGCGTGCGTGCGTGCGTGCGTGCGTGCGTGTGTGTGTGTGTGTCATGTGTGCGTGGTGTTTGTCGTGTGTGTCTGTGGTGTGTGACGTGTGTGGTGTGTAGTGCGTGGTGTGTTGTGTGTTGTGTGTTGTGTGTGTGCGTGTGCGTGTGAGTGTGCGTGTATGTGTATTTGTGTTTGTGTGTGTGTGCGTGTCCGTGTCCGTCTTCGTGTCCGTGTCCGTGTCCGTGTCCGTGTCCGTGTCCGTGTCCGTGTGTGTGTGTGTGTGCGTGTGTGCATGTGTGTGTGTGCGTGTGCGTGTGCGTGTGCGTGTGCGTGTGCGTGTGCGTCGCGCGCGGCTTCCGCACTACGACTTTCCCCGCCCTGTCGTTGCGCGCATTGCCGCGACGCCCGAAAAGCGTGTGCGTGTTCGTGTGCGTGCTCGTGTGCGTGTGCGTGTGCGTGTGTGTGAGTGTGTGTATGTGTGTGTGTTTCTGTCTGTGCTTGTGGTTGGCTTGTGCTTGTGCTTATGTTTGTGCTAGTGTTTGTGCGTGTGTCGGTGTTGGGTTTGGTGTTTGTGATGTTGTTGGTGTTGGTGTTGGTGTCAATGTCTATGTGTGTGGTAGTGGCTGTGGCTGTGTTTGTGTGTGTTTGTGGTTTTATGGACTTGCGCTGTTGAGTATTTGGTGTGATTGTGCGTTTGTGTTGGTGTTTGTATGTTTGTGCGTGTGTGTCGCTGTGTTGCTTTTGGATTGTTTGTGTTGTTGTTGTATGTGTGTGTGAGTGTGTCTTTGTGCGTTTGTGCGTTTGTGTTTTCGCGGCGTGAGCCTCGGAACTCTATCTCCTTCCAATGGCCCCTGGGTCTGGAAGAGCAGTGTCTTGGGGGCTTTCGGGGAGGTTCGGGGGGACTGGGGCGGAGAGGGTTCGTGCTCTCCCCCTGGGGCCCCTCCTGGGGCGTTCGTTGGGCCCTGTCGAGCCATCTTGGAGGCCTCTTGGACTGTGTTTGGGACCTCTCGTGCAGTCTGGACACCCTCTTGGGGGCCTCTTGGGCAGTCTTGGAACCATCTTGGGGGCCCCTTGGCCTCTCTTGGAGCGTCGGGAACCCGAAAAGGCAAAAACGCCAAGCATGCTTGAAAACACCGTAAAATCAATGTTTGTTGCCTCTTTGGGCCTTCGTGGGGGTGCTGTTGGAGGCCTGTCGGGATGCCTTGGAGGCGTCTTGGGCCGTCTGGAGGCCATTGACCGCGTCTTTGAGCCATGCTTCGGCGAGTTGGGGCTCTCTTGGAACGTTCTGGGCGGGCACAGCGTCCAGAGGGCCCACAGGAGACATCCCAGAACTCACGGGAGCCGCCCCAGGACGGCCCGAGACGGCCTAGGAAACGACTGGTCCGGGCTCTCAAAGACTTACAAATTCTGGTTGCAGCAGCTGCACAACCTCTGCCTCTCAGTGCTGCATGAGCCTTGGGGCACTCCACTTCGTGGCAGATGCATGGTGGCGGATTATCTATTGTTGCAGGGCTCGTTTCTTCCCCCGATTCGATTCGATTCGGCTTCGATGGCTTCCGATTCCGATTCGATTCGATTTGGGATTCCGATTTGGGCTCTGATTCATTGGCTGACGCCGCACCGCCGACCCCTTGGGGCGGCAGTAAGAGTGAAAAACGGAGTTTGCGGAACGATTTCTGGGGAATCTTGAGGTTTAATTTTCGGGATTTCGTCGGGGGCGGTTGGCGGATCGCCGCTCTGCTCTTGGGCTTCTCTGGGCTCTCCTGGCAACACTTTTGAGGTCCTGGGAGGTAGCCTCTCGAGGGCCTCGTGGGAGCCTCTTGGGGGCCTATTGGCGCCTTCTCAGGTTTTTCCGGGCCGAGTGCTCAAAATGTTCACTCGGGTTCCCCCTCTGAGCCTCCGCTTGGGGCCGTCATGGGCCCTCCCGGGTCGTTCTGGAAGCTTCCGGGGCCGTCTTGGGGCCCTCTTGGGCCGTCTTGGAGCCCTCTTGGGAGCCTCTTGGGCTATCTTGGGTCGACCTTAAAGGCTTCTTGGGCCATTCTGGGCCTCGTGAAAGCCCAAGAGGCGAATGAGCTAAAACCATACGTTGGACGATTTTTGCTTCTGGAGGGCCTCTTGCGACGCCTCTTGGCGGCTTCTTGAGGCGTCTTGGGGGCCTCTGGGACCGACTGCAGGCGATCTTGGGCGTCTTGGAGCGATCTTTCGGCGAATCGTAGCCCTCTTGGACCGTCCAAGGGTCCTTTTGGGGCTCTCTTGGCCCGTTTTGGGGCCCCCTGAGGATCCAAGGGTGCGGCCGACACCTTTGCCCCCCCCCCCCCCCCATCCAAACCGGCCGGACAGGGCTCCCGGGGGAAGGGTTTGGGGAGGGGGAGGCAGCTCACACGCCGTGACCCCAAGGGGTCGACGGATTCTTCATTGGAGGCATACCATCCTGCCGATGTTCGCTGATTCGACATTTTCCGACTGGGCTGCCGATTTCCGCCGATCCGATTCATTTCGATCCCGATCCGACTTATCGATTCGATTCTGGTCTCTCCTGCCTTGGGGCACTCCAATTCGTGCCAGAGACACGGTGGCGGATCATCGATTGTTGTTCTTCTAGGCCTTCCCCCCCCCTGCCGGCCCGACCGCCCGCCAGCTCTGGCTGGCGACGGCCAGCGCCAGTGCCGACAGCACGGGAGGCGCCCCCGCTGGCGGCTGCGGGGCCTTCCTGCGCGGCGCCTTCGGCTGCGAGGCTCGGGCCGCCTCCTCTGTGGACGGCCATCCTCCTCGCCCTCGCCCTCGTGATCAGCATCAGTATCATCATCAGCATCATCATCATCATCATCATCATCATCATCATCATCATTGCCATTGCCATTGCCATTACAAGCATCACATCACCATCAGCAGCATCGTCATCATGATCAGTATCATCATCAGCATCAGCACCATCAGCAGCAGCAACATCATCACCACCATCATCGTCATACGCATACTCACAACCACAATCAAAACCATTAGTATCAGCATCAGCATTAGCGTCATCGTCACCGTCACCATCACCACCACCACCACCACCATCCTCGCTATCCTCCTCCTCCTCCTCCTCCGCAGCAGCAGCAGCAGCATCGGGGCGGGCTCAGGTGTGGCCTCGCTTGCTCGTGCCGCCGCGCCCCGGCCACCCCGCCGCGCCCTGCCGCCAAAGCGCGATGACGCCCATCGCTGCCGCGCTTGGCACCGCGCGCGCGCACGGCGCGTGGCGATCCGCCCTGCGCAGCGGCAGGCACATGCTCTCTCGGTGCGTGGCGATCCGCTCTGGCCGACGGCCATGCTCTCTCGGCGCTGCTCGCCCCTCTCCGCCCCTTCGGCCGGGCCTTCCCAGCCCTGCGGGGCAGCGGCCGCGGCGGCCCCACCGAGCGGGCAGCGGCCGCGGCGGGCATGCGCGCGCATGACCGCGCCTGGACCCAGACCCCCCTCGGGTCATGAAGACATCACGACGGGAGGTTGTTCGCTAGTTTCGGCCTCTGGGGGACATCGCCGGGCCTCGGGACCGTCAAAAAGCCACTCAGGCTGAAACACCGGTCCCGGGGAACGGGTCGGGACCTCTGGGGGTCGCGTCATGGAAAAATCATGACGTCGGGGGTCTGGGGAGGCTGCTGGGCCGCTCTTGTGTCCTGGAGCGCTGCCGTGCAAGTGTGTGGCGGCGCCGTCTTGCTGCTGTTCGGCGGCGAGCCCAGGGGGAAGCGAGAAGGGGCGGCGTGCCCTTCTCGGAAGGCTGGGAAGCCCCCCGGCCTTCTGGGAAGTCTCCCGAGCCTTCCCCGAAGGCAAAGGAAACCTCTCAGAAGGCCGGGCGGCTTCTGAGAAGTCCCGCCACCTTCTAAAAAGGCGCTTCTCTTTCTCACTTCCCCCCTCGCTCGCTGCCGAGTTATGTCGATGGTGGTCGCCATGCTGATGGGTGCTGGTGTGAGTGCGGCCAGCCGCATCGTGGGCCTTGGCGTCGGCGCCATCATGTCGCTCCATGGCGAGTTCAAGGACGCGGTGTTGGGTGTCGTCCATGAGGTGCCCGTCGCGTGCTTCAGCCTTGCCGCGGAAGCTGTCACAGCCTCGGCGCGGCCGTCACGGTGGGCGTCATGCTGGCGCGGCGCATCATCCTTCTAGCGTTAAGTCGGGCGTGTCCGGCTACAGGAGGAATATTCAAAAATAGTAAAACATTGAACATAGTCAGGGGACGAGACGATTTTTGTAGATCATCATGTTTCTACTAATTTGGGTTTCTGCTTTTGTTATTTTAGTTGTTCGCCTAATATCAGCCTGTAGGGGGACAGGCCCGACCTAATTCTAGCGTCATGGGCTGCATATCGGGTGCGAACTTCCTGGGGTCGGCCGTCAGGCACTTTTGCTTGGCGACTGCGATGGCTGCCCGCGGGCTTGCTGCGCTGCGCTGTCGCGGCATGCGGCCGCTCTGCTGTCC